AGATTAAGCGCTGTCTGAATATATATATATATATATATATCTGACATGACGACATCTACTATATGAGAATTATTACGAACCTAATAGAGCAGTTAATCCATTCACTTGAGTGAGAAGTATTGTCAGGCCTGAAGCACCCGCAGCTACACCAAACATCAAGGCATGCGAGGAACTATCCAAATATAGAAATATAATAAAACGACAAACTTTGGGGACAACCTAGACCAGGTTCAAGTCCGTCTCTCAAGGGGTTGAAAATAGCGATGCACGCGAGCGGTCAAAAAAGGCGCGAAAATATGAGAGAAAAGTAGGGAGAGACGGACTTGGAGAACCTGCAAGCGCGCCAAATTTTACCGTCGGATTTTTCCTACGGAGGCGTGGCTTGCGAGTTGAGAACAACAACAAATTTTCGCGCCAATTTTTGCAAGTAACATTCGAAATGCTGCAAATGTCCCAAGTCCGTCTCTCCCTACTTTTCTCCTGAGAATGACTTGAACCAAGTCTAGGGACAACCATGAAACTACAATAATTTAAATTTTGGCCATCATTACCTCATCAGACCTCGAACCAAAACTCGATTTTTTGTGCGAGACATCTGCGAGTCAAATGGAACTTCCAGCCACTACAAGATTGAAAAGACTATTCATAGACATGGTGACATGGCTGGGAGCTGCTGCCGCACGCTAAATACTTTTAAATATTTGCGAGGGATGAACCAGGCGGGAATCGTAATCTAATAATAAATATCAATGCCCAGCATAATGTCCGTATTAATAGCCACAACAAAGAGAAATTTTCATAAATTTAATTATTTATACGGAACTGCAAGACGAAACGTTAGTTCTGTAAATAGTTTACCATGCACTAGCTTTGCCTAGTGCATGGTAAACGGGCTTTACTCAGTACTGTACAATCCAACAGAAGGATCAAACATTTCAGACTTTCACTAGAAATAGTAAAAATCATACTATGGAATCTAAATCCATAGTATATGCATACTATATCCACAGTATGGAAATTGCAATTAGTATGAAAATCATAGATGGATTTTCTGGGGGGGGGGGTACAGGGGGGTGCTACCCCCCAATATTAGCTATAACCCCCCAAAACAAAAAGTCCACCCCCCCCAAAAAAATTTTCAACCCCCCAACATTCGGCATAATAAATAAATAAATAGTCCACTCCAACGTGCAGAGTGTTGATACAAAATAAACGTAGGAGTACACTCGAACAGAAAAAGACAGTGCAATACTCTGAAACTAATCGCTGCCTTGTCATGCGAATAGCTTGCACGCAAGGAACTTTGGAATTTTTACGAACACTATTTTTAGTTTTTAATTCTTTTAGGAAATAGACTTGCCTAGATTTAATCTTTACACCCCAAATATTATTTACATTGGAGTTGCATCATAAATTGTACTCGGATTCAAACAACACAATGTCAATGATTTTATAAAAGTAAAAGCATATTGTGTATTGGCCTATTGGGTTTACACTTTTACAGGTTCATTTCACTTTAAGTCTTTAACTCTCTCAAGTCTCAACAGACAATCGGACATGCCAAATCCATTGATATGACAAATTGACCACTTCAAAAAACTTTTTCGAAGCTAGGAATCATAATTTTTTTCAAATTTTTACTGGGATACTTTGTTTTCCCCTCTCTAGACTCCCCTCTCTAGACTCCCCTCGCAGCTCTAGTGCTCCACCCCTAGAATATAGACCTTACTGGGGTTTGGTGACACTTTGTCTTGCTTCAGTCACCTGCTCACGGCTCCCCACCCCCTAAAATTTCTGGCACCACCCCAGTAATAAATATGAAAATCCATCTATGATGAAAATTGGATTTCCACACTATTTCCAACCAAAGATCAAATATGAATACTATTTCCATAGTAAGAATTTTGAAAAGCATTTCCAGTGTTTGACTAGGCCAAATTCAAAGGTACTCCAATTAAAGGTCATGCAAACCCTTATGACATCAAGCCTAAGATGACCAAAACAATGATATAACTTATTGACTGTTGGCTCTAAATTTGGGCAGGCAAATTTCTTTGGTTCGTAAGTTCATAGTAAGCTGATTACCTGGTTGATAGTATTAGCAGAGCAAGAACACAGCATTGTCCCCACCGATGCAAGAGCACATGTCATAGCTGAGAATTCTCCTGGTGCAAGACTGTATCCTGCCATTGTAGTGAGTACAACTAAACCTATGATAGAAACCAAATGGTTACTGTATACAGAGTCGGAGTTTAATTAAATAGCAGCTGGCTGTCACTGCCATTTTCACAGCACTAGCCAGCAATTTCTAAATTAGCAACAATGAATTTTTCTTCTTAACCCATTAAGCTGCAGAGCTTTCCCATTGATGAGCAAAATTGTCCGGTGTTAGGCAAGTAAAAAAAATAAGTAGGGCACACTGGGGAACATTGCGGCTCAATGTGTTAACTAGAGACATTGCCATATTTTTTGGTTAATCCACATGCATTAAGCTGCAGAGCTTCCCCATTGACAAGTAAAATCATCTGGGGTTAGGCAAGTAAAAAATAAGTAGGGCACACTGGGGCATATTGCGGCTCAATAGGTTAATTCATTCATCTATGCAATAAATTTACAGGTTTTTAAGTTAAAAAGATGCTGTCTTGACGTAAAAGATCGCGCTAAGCATTCTGGTAGCCATGAATCTCAGGTAGCCGTAAGCCCTGAATTTCTGGTGGCCATGAACAAGGCAGGAATTGTAACTGTATCGAGTACATGTTGAAAATCAATGCCAAGCATAATGCATGAAAGAGCCATGAATGAAACATTCGTTTTCAGTAAATATTTTAAAATTTTGTTTCGTGATGGTTTATTTAATTACCTGCATCAACTACGCCACGTCATTCACTTTGGCCCACTCTAAGCTGTAACTTTCCATGGGGGTTGTGAGCTAAACTGCTGCACCTCCCCTAAATTTTTTTTCCACCTCCCCCACTATTTCCTTGATACAAAGCCAAAGGCCTTAATTGATACAAAGCCAAAGGTAAATAACTAAATATTGCGATTTTTTTGCATCTTCACTCGATAGAACGAACAGTTGAAGGGTTTTTGTCGATTTTATTTTGATGAAATTTGCTGTATTGGTGTAATGTACTCAGGTGAATAAGATGCTTGTGTGATGTTACTCTGAGTGTATATCCACACCAGGCAGGCTTGAAAATATGCCTGGCCACGGTGGGATTCGAACCTACGACCTTTCGAATACTAGCCCATTGCTCTGCCAACTGATCTGAGCTACGCGGTCAGGTCGGTTCGAGTATGCGATATTTCGGAACTGAGTCTAGTTCCTTCGATATCAATGTAATCTAATAACCATGAAATTTGCTGTGTTGGTGTAATGTACTCAGGTGAATGGGTCATTCCAGAAAACATCCATACCACCCCCACAGAGGAAATAGGAACTAAGTTAACCCCCCTACCCCCTTCGAATGTCATAATACACTGCCTTACTATTATCAGAAACAATTTTTTCAAATTGCATTTTGCATTTTCAAAATTGCATTTCGCATTTACAAATTGCATTTTCAAATTTGCATTTCAAAACCGTGTCAAATAACTGGCATGCAAATGGCGAAAATGGGTCGTTCCAGAAAAGATCCATACCCCCCCCCCACGGAGGAAATTTTTGCTGTCCGAAGGGGGAGGGAGGAAAAATGTCTTAGGATGTCCGAAGGGGGGGGGGAGGAAAAATGTCTTAGGATGTCCGAAGGGGGGGAGAGGAATGTAGATATGTTTGTCTGAAGGTTTGAGACTGTGATAAAGCCATGTGATCGGCGATTATAATGAGCACGCAATTTTTATCGGCTATATATATGCAGCTCTTGAACACCGGAACGTTTATGTAACAGCAATAATTATACGTCCACGTAACTTGTAAGCAAAATAAGCGGCCCACTTTTGCATGCATGGCCACCAAAAACTAACTCGCTGTAACAGCGTATCCTGCATGTTGAGAATGAGTCGAAAATTGACACGCTTTATTTATATAGTTTGCAGTTTTCGTTCGCCATATATAAGTTTGAATTATTCAAGTGTTAAAAATAATAGTTATTGAACTGTTGCTCGAATTAAGAGACTGCTATGTGAACTGAACTCAAAACAATTTGTTTTAGTATATAGTCAATAAAGCTTCCTTGCGAGGTGCGTGTCTAGAAAATAGAAATGGCTTTCATATTAAGGGCGAGGTTAAAGGTGCCCTACAGTCCGATCTGCGCATGTGCACAAAGGAGCCCACTTTTTATGATACAAACAGTTTATCTATGTTGTGGGTTCTTGCCAAGCCTGACTGTTGTTTCTTGATCATTTATTATACTCTAGAAGCTTGAAAATATAAATAGTTGTCGAATAAAACTCAATATTTTGGACGCAAAAATGTAAACAAAGGCTTTGTTTACATACGGACTGTAGGGCACCTTTAAGGAATGCAGTAATACTAAAAAATGTATTAACATGTAAGTAAACACAGCAACGCTTGTCAATCAGTCACAAGTTACATCGAATTCAGTCCAAATTTTACTTGAACGAATTTCGAAGTGAATTTCTGCAAATTACTGATCCGACAAAACCTGCCACATGTTTGTGTTCGCAAGTCACAAGAAGCCGCCAAGTGTTCCGCCACGCCAGAGCTATTTGAAAACAGCGTAGAAAAGTCACAATAAGCCATCGCTAATTCACTCTACGTTGGAGCGAAATCGTTTGAAAACTTTCACGTCACTTTTGCCGTAACAATTTGAGCACGGTTTCTAAACGGAGCGAGGTGAAAACGGCGGAGCGCTTGATAGCTTCGTGTGAACACAAACGTGTAAACTTGAATGCTTTTCAGTCAAATTTCTTGGGTCTATTTGAAATATTTTGGGTTTACACGAGTGCTAATTCAATTTGTAAACAAACTGTAATGGCGGTAGTATGAACACACGTAAATTCTGCCCGCATTAGTTCGCTCGCGCGTAGTGTGAACGTAGTCTAATTTTCGGTGACGTTTTCAAACGGCGAGGTAGCCTTTAGAAAAATTTAGAAATAGTGGATGTCCGAAGGGGAGGGGGGTAATTTTGGGCTTGGATGTCCGGTGTGACGCGAAATTCCTGACTTGCGAAATATCTGACTATTGTAGAACTGCCCATGCGCAGACGATGCGCATGAATGACTTCGGCTCATAAATTTCGCAACTCAACAGACAACACGTGTATTTATAAAGCCATTTTATTTATACATAAATTTTCCAACATTAATTCTACAATTGATCAACTGAATTGACACTATACCACTGATTGTGAACGTTATAATAAACCTTGAATCGTAGATATGGAAAAATCACTCGAAAAGCGATCTTAGTGATATAAAATAGACTCCAGTTTCAAAGGTTATGCCGTATATGCATTACTAACTATACTATAAGCACTAAAAATCGTTTCGCGTTTGACCTTCTCACTATTTAGTAAGCAGCAACGATGAGTTCGAAGTTCATAATTTGGCGATGTCTACGCTATAGAAACATTTGGTAACATCGCATATGGACTTAAAAGTCGTTTCGACCGACCGTATTTAGCAAACGTCGTGTATTTCGCGGTCACGACCACACAATTCGCTTTGAAATTTAAAGTGTTTGTGATTGAAACTTAGCGATGTCGATTTGAAATATTTAACGAAGTATTAGAAATTAACATCATGATTATTTTATCTAAACTCTAAAAAACAGTTTTGGCCGACTTAGAATTTAGCAAGCGTCATGTATTTCGCGCCTGTACGCGCGAAATTTCTGACCCGTCACGCTAGGTCAGGTATTTAGCAGAGGTCAGGAATTTCGCTTGACACCGGAGAGGGGGGGAGGATGAACCATTCAAGGATGTCCGAAGGGGGGGAGGGGGTTATTTTCGATTTCCTCCGTAGGGGGGGTATGGATCTTTTCTGGAATGACCCAATGTAACACTTGCTTTACTGTATGTGACATTAATATTGTAGTAGCTACTTCTCTGTTAATACTAGAAAAAAACATGTTTTCATTTCGGACAAGGCGCGTATTTTGATCGGGTGTAAAACAACACGCCTCATATTTTAGTTTTATGTAGTTGATATTGTCATACTTTATTTTTGTTGTCATATTTTATTTTTAGTTCATATTGTTATTAATCAGTTATTAATGGATCATTAAGGTTGATACAGGCTTTTTGTCCGTTTTGTTATTGAGTAATTAAAATAATTTCACTTCCTCAAAGGCAAAGCATTCATTCGGTTTGAATCTTTAAATTAAAACACGTGTATCTGTGTTTTACTGCTTCATTGACATGGCGTTTCAACTCTACGAGCATCGACAACTCGACAAGCTGTTACAGTTTCTATCACAAAGGTTTGTTTATAAATTATCTGGCTTTGAAATATTGAAAGAATTACCGCGATTCATGCCATTTTCGAATTTCGACGCTTCGCTAAGCCTAAGGTGTAACTGTGAATAATTTATGTACCGACAGTGCTGCGAGACATCTATACTTATAAAACGTAAAAGCAAGACAGCGTCTTAAAACCATATCTTGTGCCTCAATCGTTTAGAAAAACCAAGGTAAGATTTCCATACGCCGACATGTATGTTGAATAACTAGCCTTTTATGTTTTTCGCTGCCATGAAGTTTTTTCTCATAAGCGATTTATTGAGCGCGATTCGCGAAGCGCGTTTCGCGATTACGCGAAAGCAGTAAACAAATTATTTGAGCGAGTCATTGCGCGTAAAGAGCGAGAGGTCGCGATAGCGCCCCTCGCAAGCTTTCGCGTCATGTTTCTCGCTCGAACATTCTCGAAACTCGCTCGAAAAAAATGTATAGTTTCCGTTGGATGGTACTGTATATACAATTTTAGCCCTAACCAGGAGCAGTTGTGGAAAATGCAACTATAGGCCCTCTGCCAGGAAACAAACCTGTGGCTCTGCAATTTTGGTGCAGCGCACTAACCACCTGAGCTACACAGTCCAGTTGTCTTGTGGTTAGAGCTCGACAACTGATCTCTATAACTCAGTCAGTTGGAGTGATGTGCCAGAATCACAAGGGCCACAAGTTCAATTCCTGTCAGAGGACCATAGTTGCATTTACCTGTCAGAGGGCATATAGTTGCTAGGTTTTAGTCAGTTCCAACACGATGCAATTCCAGACAAATTTACTCATAAAGACATATCCACTGACCTGTTAAACGGATCTTGGACAGCCTGAGATAGTACCGCAATTTCTGTTTCCATGACAACTGCGATGGAATGTCACATTGATCTTGAACAACTTCACGGTGTTTAAGGCCCACATCAAGACCAATATTTAAACCTGGACTATGTTTACTTAAAGTATCAGACGAGACCCTGGCTTCTTTGCTGTATTGCACCAAGGAACGCCATTGGGTTTTAGGCTGAAAGAAAGAAAAATAATCTGTATTGTTTTATATTATTGTTTTGTTATCTACAGTATGTTGTCAATCAGTTGGTCAGCAAGGCATTCTAGTGATTGATGATTACTCATATCACAATCTGCCAAATACTGATGCCGATTTTATAATGACATCATAATATCAGTCGACCAAGTAAAAGTAACATCATTCATGTCAATTTTTTAACAATAATTTCCAATGTAACGATCATTAAAACTGTTAATAAATGACATGCTTCACACATTAATTTAAAATGTGTTAAATTAATTTAAGTGTTAAAATGCAACATGCACCAAAACATTCAGGAATACAAGTACATTCCTGCGCCTTTCCTGCTAAAACGTCAAGGCTATTATCAGCTAATCCCAGTATAATTTCTCGCAGACCAATCAAGACGCCAGTGTAGAAAGTTTGTATCGCACGTCAGATATCTCCGGCATGCAATTTTGATGCTTTCTATATATTTACTATTAAATTTTCAAAATCTCCAGCATGAAATTTCCAAACTTTCCAGTCAAGTCAAGACATTGCCATTCCCAAGATGTTGATGTTGCTACAATGGGAAATATTATGGGGCCGCATTCCTGAATGTTTTCACGCAAAAACACAACATGTTTTTTTTCCAGATGAGAGGATGCATCCATGTTTTTGGTAATAAAATGCACCCAGCCAGTGAAACAGCTGCATTGGACGTGTATTTCTGCACGTGGACTGTGGGATATAGACTTTATATATAATTATTAATTACAATCATGATATATAACTAATTAACAAAGATAACATACAGGCACAGCAGCATACTTACACCAACTTTTCTCGAGCCTACGTTCCATCCTTGGCTAACATTTTTACTAAAAACTCCACCTCTACTAATATTGCAAATATCATACTTGACCGTATTTGAACAGAACAAATAAAAGCGAACTTTTATATCCTTATAAAACTTTGTTTTTAACCCCCTCCATTGTATATAACTTCGTGTAAATGCCAAACGGCATTGGTTCTTTAACATAACGTTGTTTTCTTTGCACTCATCCTTTTACATTGCCAGAAAATTCAAGAAAATTGAAGGGTTTTTAAACCTAAACATTTTCTTGATTTTATAAAATTTTGAAAAGGACAGCCATTTGTGCCCGCCGTGTGTTAGACGTGCGGTAGATTGGAAACTTCATTTAAGAAACAACATTGTGTAATTTGGTTTTGCTACCTCGTTTGCTACTGAAATATATTTCGACAAATTCATAAAATACATTGACTTTTTGAAGAAATTATCAGAAAATCATTGCTTTAAGTTGTATTTTTCAATGGGTAATAAACGCAAAATCAAAGAAAGAAGAGAGGAAAAGTCTCTGGCAAACAGAGAAGCTTATACTAGAATGAACTTTTTGTATCAGGTAGTGTACCGTTGTTTGCTTCTAAGGATGAACACTCGAAAAGAAATATGTTGTCAATACATTATACATGAGAATTGTATTTTAATAATTTGATAGCCAAACATATCTAACTAACTCTGATTTGTTGAACTATTAAAATTGTTAAACACTCATTGCAAACATTGAAATTTCATGATGTTTGTGATGTGACCACGGTGAGAATTGAACCTGTGGGCCGCGACCTTTGGGATACTAGTCCAATACTCCAATGCTCTACCAGCTGAGCTACGAGGTCAAGTCGGTTTTTGTTGGTCATATTTCAGAACTGAGTCTAGTTCCTTCGATATCAATGTATTCTAAGATATGGTAATCTCAATGTTTCTAGGATATGATAATCTCAGACTACACAGCAAAAAACGCCGAGCTCGCTGCTCAACAGGATTTTACAATGTTTTGCTGCCCACATTGTTCACACTTGTCAACAGTATTGAACAATATTGTCGAGCCTGAATCGGGTGTAACAATATTGTTCAACATTGTTGACAACTGTGAACAATGTGGGCAGCAATTAGCATTGTTCAATCCTGTTTTCTTCAATGTTGCATCAACCTTAGCCTTTTTTACGTATGTACATTCCTATGCCTATGATTGTAAAAATTACCAATTTTTAGCTATGTCAATATAATTATTCTCACAGACCAATCAGCTAGACCACACCATTCCCATAATGTTGATTTCACAAATGGTAGAATGTGGTTGCATTCCAGAATGTTTTGAAGCGAAAACATCGCACACATTATTTCAAGAAAAGGTAACAGAAAGAACCAATCACAACACACTTGTCATGTGGCAACTGACAAACTGTGGTTGTATCAGCCAATTAGAAAAGAGCATTTTACCCAATCAGAATGCAGCCACAGGGAACTCACCTCAATGTTATTTTATCTTCCAGGCATCCCAAACAGTATTAATGGAAAATCCAGTGAATTTAGAACTTTCAAGATTTTATGCATTTACAATGAAAAGTATTGGACAAAAACTACTTTGTAAAATGTATGTGTGAAACCTCTCCTTATAGACTTTAACATTTCTAATATGGTTTTCTCTCTGGTATGGACACCTCTCCTACATGGACACTTCTCCTACATGGACACTTCTCCTACATGGACACTTCTCTAATACATGGACACCTCTCTAATACAGACACCTCTCTAACATGGACACCTCTCTAATATGGACACCTCTCTAATACAGACACCTCTCTAATATGGACACCTCTCTAATACAGACACCTCTCTAATACAGACACCTCTCTAACATGAACACCTCTCTAACATGGACACCTCTCTAATACAGACACCTCTCTAATACAGACACCTCTCTAATACAGACACCTCTCTAATACAGACACCTCTCTAACATGGACACCTCTCTAATACAGACATCTCTCTAATATGGACATCCCTCTAATATGGACACTTCTCTGATATGAATACCTCTCAAATACAGACACCTCTCTAATACATATACACCTCTCTAATAAGCACACCTCTTTAATAAAGACACCTCTCTAATATGGACACCTCTCTAATATGGACACCTCTTTAATAAAGACACCTTCCTAATATGGACACTTCTCTAATACGGACACCTCTCCAATAGGGACACCTCTTTAATACCGACACCTCTCTAATATGAACACCTCTTTAATACCGACACCTCTCTAATATGAACACCTCTTTAATACAGACACCTCTCTAATATGAACACCTCTCTAATATGAACACCTCTCTAATATGAACACCTCTCTAATACAGACACCTTTGTAATATGGACTCTCTCTCTTTAAAAACAACACTTCTCTAATATACTGACTCGAATACCAAAAACCTCTTTCATTCTAACATCTGACAATTATTATTTTGTAAATAGGGACCCATCTATCAAACGAACAATCTGCAAATACTGCCATTCCATCCTTGTCCCTGGGTTAACATCAACCATAAGAGTTAAAGGTAACCAAGAAATATTGATTAAATTAGCCTCCCTTGTCTGACGCCAGACAGACAATGGAACATTTTGATCACTGGAATGACTGGAAGGATGGCTGTTATGCAAACTTAACTTCATATAAATTATGTTGTCTGTGGTTAAGTGAATGTGTTGTTTCTTTGTTGCCTATTTCACAACTCTGTACAGTGTACATAAAACTACATACAAATTTTATATTCCATTATAGCAAAACGTGAACGACATCTGGTTGTAACATGTTTGGACTGTGGAACTTTAAAACGATTTAATACATGCAAGAATTACCAATTGTGGAGTGAGCAACAACAGGCTGAAATGAAGCAACAGCCAGAAGGGCAATACTCAGGACAAGAACAAAAAACACAACAAAATAAAAACCCTGGTCTCAAACATAGAAGTTAAGGATAGTGTATTATTATAAGGTGGTTTTCAATAAAGAGTGAACATTAATGAACTGAACCCAGACACCAAGCAGCTATCAGAGTGATTAATGAATAAGGTTTATTTTTCATTGTATGTAGTAGTGCATGGTGATTTGGTGGCAACTAGAATTGTGAGATGTAGTTTAATTTTCTAATTGTTCATATAAAGCGTGATCAAGATTTCAAGCTCAAAAAGGTGGTCAAAATTATCATGATTATGGTGATGGTCGTATGTTGGTCCGACCTCCTCCCAATATGCCTTGCATGGGAACTTTTCAAAGAGTCCTGTTCGTACCTTGCCTTTTTGGATCTAACTTTAAAATGTCTGCGTTTTACTCTGTAAATATTCGCTTTTTTTGCATGTTTGTACATACATTGATCCAAATAAATTTGTTAAAAAAAAAATCACAGTGTCTACCACTGCGACCAATTGATTTAATATGGTGTACTCAAAGCAGAGGGATATATGCACATAGGAGTTAAGAGTGATGTTTCTCAGTTTCTGAATATATTTTGCAAAAGCTAATTTATTTTATAATACTTTTTGTTTGTGGAAACACCACGTAAATTTATTGCTGCAATTTAAATTTTATTAAAATTTACTTATTTACGTGGTGCTTACACAAACAAAGAGTATTATATGTTTTATCACCATGCATGCAAACCTACAAAGAACTAATTATTTTACTAATTAGAAATAACATTTTATTAAACCCAAATACTCACTTATAATTATTACTTTTAGTGCATGTCATAAATTGACAAACAATTTTGTATAAATATTTCTTAAAAAAATATATGTTGTGTTTATTATTTAAAACAAAAGTTTGCCACGAATTCTTCAGCTCTTACAATACTTTATAACAAAGTTTCATTGCAATGCTTCATAAGACGATCTATATGTTCTAAACAACTCAAAATGTAAGGCGCCTGGTTTCAATTTAGCCCTAGTTGCAGTCATGACGATGTCAAGGGGGCAATTAACTAGACCCCTTACCTTGTTTGCAAGATTATGTTCCCATTGTGATTCAACAATACATTATTACAATAACAAAGCTCTATCAAGAGCTTGTTAAAACTTTTAAATTGCCTGCCAGAAAATGTACACCTTAGGGAAGGGGTCTAGATTCTAGAATATCTCTATTTCTATAATAAGTCTACAATCGGTTAATTAAACTTGTGCATTCACAAATAGCACACCAAAGATGGCCAGGATAGATCCTATACAGTAGATCTCTGCAATCAATTAAAGCCTAGTTTTCATTAAATCGTAAATGTCGTAATTGTCATGTCACAGATTAAATAGATTTCTGAGATTGCGATTGGTCGGCTGCCATTCTCACAATTGTATTACTCTTGTGATTTAATGAGAACCATGCACAATAAATGTGTAAGACTCCCCCTTGCTAATTAACAGTAAATACAGCACACAAAAAAGACTTGGTCACGACAGCTGCAACTAAATTGGAAACCATGCAGACTAATTAATATATAACCATAAAAAATATTGGCTTATAAAAGGCTCTGGAAATTAATATGTACCTCATAATTAAATAATGGTTGGCAAAATACGGAAATAAATTATTAAGTAAACTGTGATGTATATTTTGTAATTATTGACGTAGACCAATGTCTTATTCTTTCTTTCCATCCTCCCCGAGTTCCTTTGATGCAGATCGCTTCGTGAAGCTCAGGGCGGACGAGAATATTCAGAATCTAGACTTGCCAGCCGAAGGGCCGTCGTTTAGAAACTCATGTCCAAGACCATTTTGACACTTCCCGCATCTTACTTTGTACGCACTGGATCCTTCTCGGTGCTTGACAACACTGTCGCTATGTATGGTGTCCGAGAATGCCGGCCAAGGACTGGAGTGCGCGTACTTCTTTGCACTGCTGAATAATTCATGGCCACATTTTGAACACACATAGATACCTACAGGCAGACAATGTATGTGTAATTAACGTTATTTTATTACGTGTTTGAATGGTACATCATCACAAAAAATTGAATTACAATGACCAATGTGCTAATACAATAATTG